ACCCACCAGACCCACCAAGAGCAGCGCCTGCCTCTGGCGCTGCGATCGGTGCGCCCTCAGGCCATAGGGGCGGACCCACAAAGAGCAGCCTCACCGCGAGCTGCTGGGAAGCGTCGACGGGCTGGAAGCGTCTGGACGTGTCCGTGTCCGGAAAGAGACCTTTGTTCAATCAAACACCCCAAAGAATCAAGCAAGAAAAACTAATGAACACTGAACGACTGCACACGAGCAGCATTGTTTTTACTACTATACCATTGTTTTACAAAATATAGAAGACGACAAATCACCCAGGTGGCCACCATGTGCCGGTGCCTGAGATCCATGACCAGCTAGTGGAGCTGCAGTTTGGAATTGGTTTGGAATTGGTTTGGAATTCCCCAAACGCAGCTCGACGGGACGTGGCGCGTCGAAAAAAGGTGTCAAAACCTTCTGCCCAAGCAACAAAAAGGCCAGAAAAAAAAGAAAAAAAAGTCCGATGAGTCCAGTGACTCTTGTTTTCTTCGGTTTGGTTTCTGCCCTCGGGCGTTCTTTTTTTCCTATGTGTTTTCCCCCGGTAAGTACCATGATGTCCTTCCACGGATCGGTGTGGAATGGTGTCAGACCAAGGTGAGCCCAGGCTACTGCGGACGCTGGCACCAGTGGTGCGGGACCACTCATTCAAAGGAAAGAGCGCAGTTCTTTGCAACTACTACACCCCAAGCAATTCCCGAATCAAATCCTGCCACTCCTGCGTGAGCGTGCCTCCTTTTTGGTTGCGTTCTACATGGACATGTCCTTCAGAACCAAACCAGGTTTTGCACACCACCCGGCGCGTCCAATCTCACACCCGGCCTCCGCCGACCGCCCAAAGGCTCCGAATCCTTGTAACCCACCAGCACGCCACCCTGCCGAAGCCGCATCGTGTGCGGCCGAGTCGGTCGAGTCGGTCGGCACAGGTCGGAGGATGAACGGCTTCAAAAACCCAATGTTGCAAGTCCAGGATATGCAAAATCTCCAATTCAAAACATGGTACACTTGGACCATGTTTTGCACTTTGGACGCGGTTGCCTGATTTCTCACCAAGCGCCCCTCGTGCAGGAAGCTTGCGTTGCACTTCCGCGCTACTGCCTCAGCACATTCCCAGTCACGTGAGAAGTCGTTCTGATTGTAAGGTGAGGCCAAACCTGCCTTTCGACCGAACGTCTTTCTGCCAGAATGGATTTGGAAGAAAGAATTCTTCAAGAGAATCTATTTACTACCACAGTTACAGTAGTCAAGACCAAGAGCCAAGCACCAGTACAAGGCAGAAATTTGGATAGGCTGCAAAAGTGTGGAGGAGAACGTACTTCTGCTGCACCAGGTGTGTACTTCTTTGACCACCTCGTTTGAACCATTTCACCTGCATTCCACTTTTTCGTGATGAACAAAACCGGGTGCGGAAGACCCCAACCTGCCGAGCTTGAGCGCTGAGTCCTCATCTCAGGCGCCGACGGTGCGTACGTCCAGCATCGATGCCTCGTGCCGGGAACGGCGTGGGTTCATGATCGAGGGGTTTTGCGACGTCAACTGAGTCCCAAGGAGCAATCCAAAATCATTCTATGAGTATATCAGATCAGTATATCCCATGACCAGTGACAGTGGATGATGATGGCTTGTATCAAGGCCTTATACTCTAAAATTGTGATTTGCTTGTTTACCGACTGTTACAGGTAATGGGACAAACCCAAATTCTATGTATATGTGCCAAATTCTACGGCAGAAACAATTACCAGACGCCAGCGTAACTTGCAAACAAAAAGTGTAGGCAACTTCTGAATCATACTGCAGCCCAAGAAGCTGTGCTCGGCACTGTGACATGTACCTGTGCTTCTGCTCGGCTGGTGGCATCTTCAGTCTATCATACCGATACCCTTGATGTGTCCTCTGTGTTTCCACCAACGCTGGAGTCCAACTGTCTTGCCACGAGTATGAAAATGAGTGGGCAAAAAAGAGCGACCGCGCCGCAAGACCCATTCAGTACTTCGTGCGGAAGTTCTCACAAATCGCCCTCTTCCCACGTTCTCCCCCCGACCCAGTCCTTTTTGGAAGGCGTCCAAACTCCTCAACCTCCGTGCTTCTTCCGCGTTCCGTGAAACCGTGGCCGCCGGCCTCCTCTTTGGTGTCGCCGCCGGCGCGCCGGACCCGCACTTGCACCTCCTTAGGCGCCTCTGCGACCACCTGAAAACAAGACCATGGTGGATCGGTTGATGGTCGGTGCTTGAGGAGTCAGATTTGCTTGGGCTTCGGGGGCTTCGGGATCCAAGCGAAAGGGGCTCAAAAGACCTCAGACTATGGTGGCTCAACCCATGAAAATTCTTTCTGTTCCTAGCCATCTTCACTGAAAATGTAAAGGTTTGACCCGCACTGGGTTCCTCGTGCACCATCATTGGAGGGGAAGAAGGGTTGGACAATTTCGCAGAATTCACGGCCCGGGATAGTAACAATATAATGGTTAGTAGAATTGTTGGTGGTAATTCGTGCTAGTAACTGGAGCGGCTATGACACTGGAAGTTGAAGGAACACGTATTTAATCGCCAAAACATATCAAAATTCAGGTCATTGTGTTTCTCCCATTTTTCACGTCTGTCGTCCTTTTCCATGCGCACGGCCAGCCATCCAAGCAAATCGCACCTTGGCACCCACTGCAGGTTCGCCCCCGTAGAGGAGATCGTTCAGCATGTTGCCCATCTGCTGGAACTCCTGGTGCGGAGATGCCCACTGACGTAAAACCAGAAGACCGAAACCACAACATGACGGGTCCAACATTCTTTCGAGAAACTCATATTGATCTGGGAAAAGGCACAACAAAATCACAGATGTGTCATTTTTTGGCAAACAAACCTACTTTTTCAGGTGCCAACATGTTCATCTTTTAACCATACTTCATTGCCCTCCACATGCCCCACGGACCCTCCAGCTCTCCTATACCTTGGAAGCACAAAATATACAGTTTGCCTCTCTGAACCACAGCTGTTTCACCACAGTTGACTACTTACATACTGAAAAAATTGGACTCACACTAAAATGCATTTGTAGGGGTGACACCAAAAACCATCCCATGAGCTCAGCAAACCGTTACCACTTGCGGGGGTTTTAACCTCGCAAGCGGTGGCACTGAATATTCCTTTTCCCATGCCAAGACCTAAACATCCCACAAACCTAATTCACATGCTCCCAATAAAACCCCTCCTCTGGTAAAAAACAGCGGTGGCTTGCGCTTGGCCTTAAACTGAGGGATGCCCTTTCATCAAGGGTGTCCTTCTCATTTTCCTGCCGTTTCTTACCCTCCAGCATTGTGTCAATCGCTTCCTCCGCCTTTGCCACTCCAATTTTACGTTCTGCCTTTGTGTCAAAAGCATCATGCTGGATCGCCCCTTCCTTCATACTTTCTGTGTTGAGGATTTCCTCCTCCTGTGCGCAATCTTTTTGTTCTTCTGCCCTTTTGTCAAGGGCGTCCTTCTCCTCAGCCTTTGGGTCTGCGGCGTCCTTGCTCCCTCTTGCCCCCTTGTCAAGGGTGTCCTCCTGCTCTTCCTTGATTTTGCTTTGCTTTGTTCTTTGGTGAAGCTTACTTTTTTCCTCCTCTTCCTTCTTTAGGGCAACTTCCGCCGCCTCTCTGGCCAGAGCTTGCTGCCTCCTCCTCTCTCTCCTGGCATGGCTCACTGTCCCAGCTCCACTGGGCCTACGTTTGTTGTTGAAGGCCTTCCATTGGCCCCATTTGCTCCAATCAGCCATACCCTTTTCCGAGGCTAGCAGCTAGTAGTGGATTGCTTGAACTTGAAAAAGGCTGCGTGCGCGCAAGGCTTGGCCTCAGCCCTCAGTGCAAAAATGGGGAGAAGCAAGCAGAAGCATGCAGAAGACAGCCAGAACGGAAAAACAAGCAACAAACAATAGCAAGAGCAAGGAACAAACAACCAACCAAACACCACCGCCCCCACCACACCCTACACCCGTTCAGGTCTTTGCTGGTGCGTTTGGCTGGAGCTTTACCTCTGATGTTGCGAGGCCAGCTGTACATGCCTCTTACTGCCATATGGCCAGTAAGGCCTGCAGCCGTTTGATTAAGAAATTGTGCTTTTCGTTGTCACTATTGCGTTGCACAAACCTTCCCTCATTTGCAAATGCTCTTCCAAATCAATTTTTTCCAAGGAGCATTCGCCGAGTCCTCGTCAGACCTTCTTCTCTTGCCGACTGAACAATCAGGTAGAGCTGAACATGAGAGACAATTTCTCTGATGTCCTCACAAATATGCTCCTGACGATTTGCTAATAGTCTTCCTGGCGGCTGCCCCAAAGGCATCACCACCCTCACTTCTTCTGGGCTACAGCTTTTGGCAAGCTGCCTTCTGCGTGGCCATAGATTTTGATCGAAATACTCAGCTGGGCATGGACCTAGGTAAGCTTTGTCTTGACGAAGGAGATACCCCTGTCCTCTCCTCAAAGCTCTTGAGGCCCGCCCCTTTTGCAAGGGGTCCTCTTCTATATTTCATCCCTTTGTCAAGGGGCTGTCTGTAGGCTTTGCATCTTCCTAGTTCTGCTAAGGGGCACTCCTTGAAAGGGCTTTGAAAAGCATGCACAGCCCAACGGATTCACTCACTTCTTTTTAAAGTTGGCCCTTCTTCTTGGGCATCTTCCTTGGCAAGGCTGCCACTTGAGGCAACATGCTGGGAGGCACGCTGCTTTCTTCGGGTCGTGTCCACCACTTGCTTGAGCAGCATACATTCCTTGCTCCCCACACTGGTGGCACAAGATCTGAAGTCTTCCTGATTCTTGAGCCTCCTCACATGAACGAGTATGACATTTCTTCTTTTCACTTCAAACACACCCAAACACCTCCAATTGACTTGGCGGTGTTGATTGTGGGCTCCTGTGGCAGGAGCTCCACCATAGCAAACCTGAGGGAGCCATTTTACATTCTACCAAGCTCGTCTATAACCCAGCAAGACTACATAATCAGTTATCTAAGTTATCTACCTCTACCATCCTCTACCAAAAAATACAACTCATTTCGACGTGCGAAATCTCCGCCTTCCCATCATATCCCACCTCGGTCGAGTGGATCTCTGGCTGATCAAATTGCGAGAGCATCTCAAAGACTCCACGCTCGGTGCCCTCCAAGCCATACCTGCTACGGACGCCCTTGGATCCCCGCTAGGTGCCAAACACTTCGGCGGGGAGGGATTTCTCGGTGTTGGCCAATCGATCAAGGTCAAGTTCCACCGCACCCTATAGTACATGACGACCCTTACTTTCGAGGAATCCCCACCTACTGTTGAAGTGCTTGCCTGCACACCAGGCTTGGGATGATCCAGTAGGTATCCTGATCTTGAGTTTCGTACCAGTTAACCAGTGGCCCAGTGACCCAGTGGTTTGAAGGACAAACCAAACCCAGATCAAAACCTAGAGGGGCCTGAAATTTATCAGCATCGCACGACAGCATCGCATGCGCACGACCTAAACGCGCAGCACGCCTCGGCAGCACCGCACTCTGCACCGTCAAGAAGAGCTTCTGCCGCTCGGCGCGGTACTTCCTGGTGTGAACTCCATATCTGCCGAGCCAGTTCGTCGCGGAGTTCGTTTGTCATCTGCCGATCGATGAAACCGGAGGCGGAGATCAAAGTTGGGGAAAGAGACCAGTTGCATACTCCATAGAAGTAGCGTGCAAGTGCACCAAACTGATAATAAGTGTATATATACGTGGTATGTATAGGTTGAGTCTACCTATAGTTCCTTTCCTATCTGGCTGTTCACAGGAGGAGGTTAGCAGAATCTAAGAAGCCGTGAAACTGGAGGAAGTACATCTGATAATCCATCATGCTTGCGGACTTATGCCGAAGAATGATCGATTTGGAATCAACGACGGGTGTTCAACCGAAGAGCGCAGGGCAAAGCCTCGGATCTTGAGGAGTTTGATCTGTTTGATCCAGATTGGAATGGTCATATCTCGTCTGGTGAAGTTTGTCTCAGGTGGAGTGACTGACAAGTCCAGTCCATGGGAAGATCAACGGCGCTGCGGGTGAAAACCTGAGTCGGAGGCCTCGACTCCATGGTCGGCTTCTGTTGCCACAACTTCTTGAGACGTTCGCGAAAGAGAGGGGAAGAGAAGCCCTCATAGAGCTCCTCCGCAATGCGAGGAGCGAGGGGCCAAGGGGCGCAGGGGCCAATGCCAACGCCTTTTGGGGCTGCATGGACCGGAGATCAAGTCCAAACAAGGTTCAAAAACCCTTCCGCATGGCCGAGCTCACCCAAAAACAGGTGGAACACGATGGAAGCTGCCCAGAATCGCCCCAGTCCTTCTGCAGCGCCACTGCCTGCTGCGGCGTCAGCTTCGCCATGGCCAGGCGCGGCGACAACGGCTTGCGCAGCCGCTTGGAGCCTGGGCGTTGTCACGTCGGCGTCGGGCCGGTTGGGAGGAAAGTAGCTGAGGCCGAATGTTTCAACCTGAAGGAGGCTGAATCGGAGAATCAAGAATCGAGTATTGAATGTCGTTGAATACAGGTTCTATGTGGTTCTATATATATTCATGTTCTTGCTTGTTCTTGTGGGCATGGAGGGACGAGGTGGTGAGGATGAAAGCTTCAAAACTGTCAAAGGTGATCATTGCCCTCCTGGAAGAAACTATCTCCAAACCTTCAGAGGGCTCGGAACGTGTGTTCCTTCTGCCAGGTGGGGGCCATGTTGGTTTTGGGGTCCAAGACTTGGAAAGTCAAGTGAAAAGTGAAAACCAACTCTGCACACGACTGAGCACGTGACGTTCGTCTGGTCGCAGAAGATTCTGAACTCCAATGACTAGAAGGCTCCTCGATTTCGACCAGAATCAGTTGATATCATTTTCCTAAGCAACCACCCCATTATTTGGGGCTATAGCGACTTTTGGACAATATACAAGTCCCTCCCGATGGGATGAGGTGACCCAAACAGAAACCCGGCAGTCCTGCGCTTCCCCAACCTGCAAGCCGCTCGCATCGGCTCGCTCGATCGGTCCCCACCAGGTGGGGAGGTCGATACGGTGCCAACCCCGTGTCGCCGACCGGGTGTGACGACATGAAGACATGGATCATCAAGACAAACCCGAGACTCTCCGAGACTTCCTGAGGACGGAGACATGGGAGAGTGAAGATGGAGTGGCAAAACAAAACATGGATCGTGGATCATCGAGACTTGTTGAGACGACATGGGAGATTGAAGACTGAACAAAACAAAACATGGGATCCGTCTTCCATCACCCGGCACATGATCCATCTCCTCCACTATTGGAGGCCAAGCCGGTCTGCAGCCTCTGGAGACTGCCAATTTTGGGGTGTCCCACCGTCTCAACCCGTTCAACGCCGTTCGGGGTCACACCTCTCGGACTCCATGAAGGAGCTGAAGGCGCCGCTCTCGCCCACGCGCCGCACGAAGCGGCAGGTCTGCAACACCTGGGGATCTTCCAACCTCGGCTCGGCAAGATTCGTCCACATGGAGGCGACGGAGGGAGGGACCTTGGCTTCCTCCGGGGTTTCAAAAAAGAAACAGAACCAGCACAGAACAGATTGCAGATCTTTTTGGTTGCCAAGATCGAAGGAAAGGGCAGCCTTCGAAGGGTGCTAAATCAACTCTGAATCATTTGGTTACAAGAACTCTTTGCCAGCCACTTCAATCCTGATGTTCCACTGAGTGTCATAGAACTTGCGATGGCCTTCCCTAAGCTGTTAGGTTTCTTCTGCATACGTCCAAGTCCAAAGGCCAAGCTCATCTCGCCTCCTGCCAGAAACTCGCATGCTCATGGTTTGTGGATCCCAGTATTTCAGACGTGATGGTGAACCTGCGAACTTGTCCATCAGTCACCATTGAGTTCCCGACCCCAGGGCAAATCCTTTGGTCTCTCCTATTATGTCTTCAGGATCTTTTAGGTATGTCACAAGCTGAACCTCATGAAGACGCTGAAGCGGGCCCCCCAAAAGCGACAGGATCTTCGGTGGAAAAAACAGAGACTCCGGAAGTGGGTGAGACATGGTGCCACACGTCTCGCCCCAAGGATCCCAGCTCGCTCCAGCGCTCGCTCCAGCGCTCGTCGTTCACCGGTCCCTTCCCGTTCAAGGGGATTGGGCTGTCCAGGAACTGGGGTTGGGGAAAAAGAAACAGAAACATCCAACGATCTTCTCAAGTTGGTGGGGATTCATCCATGGGGCATAGGGAGGAAGAAAAAGAAAGAAAGCAAGCAAAACCCAAGTAAGTCCACCCTCCGTCCAAGGAGCTGTTCTGCCAGGGCCTCCTTGAGCTGTCGAAAGGTGGCGTCCGTGCTCACCAACAGCTGCGCCTCCTCGTCCTGGCGAAACGTTTAATATAACGGTCCGCAAAGGTAACCGTGATGAAAGAACGTTATATATATGTATACCTTGAGATCTTATGGATCTGGGCCAAAAAGTTACTCATAGTTTCAGTGGGCAAGCCAAAGGTCATCTAAAAGCTACAGGTGGGAAAGTCTTTTCTTGAAGAACTACCACGAGCCATTCGGAGAAAAATGGAAAACACGTCTCCCCTGCCATCCGATTCCCATATATTTCTATCCTCTGCAATCTGTCTTTCCTTCCATCATCATCTCAATCTTCAACGTTCAAACCCAGTTCGGACCCCCAAGCCGCTCCATCCCGGCGCACTGGATCGAGGATCGGCGATGATCGACCGTCCGTCCTGCAGATGTGGTTCATCCAGCGCATGGCGGATGGTGACCTCAATCTCCTTGGGCTCCACACGACGAGAGCCGGTCCTCAGTTCGGGGCCAGGTCGGGACGAAGTTGGAAGGCAGAAAGGCCAGAAAGCACACCGCTTCAACAGCCGCTTCGACAGCTGAAGACCGTTTGAGTCGTTGGTTCCGTCTTGGACCGAACTGACCCTGCCCAGACGGGGCAGTCGTTGACTGAGGCCAGGCGGCCCAGTCGGTTCTTCCGAGAAGAGCAGGTCGTTCAAGATGGCACCCAGGCGTTGGAAATCCTCATTGATTTGCAGGTCGGGTCGATCAAACTGCTGCATCATCTCAAAGACTCCTGGAAGGCACAGTGTCAATTGGCGCGAGTGGAGGGATGGGTGAGCTACGTTTCGTTTGAAAAGAACATCACAGTGCAGGACATTGATCCCCTTTAAGGCCCGGCACATCACAGGACTGCGCAGTTCCCACAATGGGAATGTACCCGGCCCTAGCGGTCGAAGCAGCAAGCATTGTTGCCATTGGCTTTGCTGCAAGCTCCGTGTCTTTAGTGGCCTGCTGGTGTGGCTCTTCCAGCGGGAAGCTCAGTACGGAAATCCTTTGGGATGTCGGATGTCGGTCTCAGCGTTGGTCAAAACCACCTCCCTCTTCGGTGAGCAGCTGTGAGCTGAGCACACCAATTTGCCATGTGATGTTGATTCCAGAAGATCTTCCATGTCCTTCTGCGGAATCTTTAGTGTCTCAAAAAGGGACCCAGACGGCTCCTGCTTACTGGTCTGGTTTCTTTTTTACCCAACGGCTCCTTTAGGGCTCCCCTCGAAGCCATGCTTTGGAAGGACCTCCTTCTGCACGCTCAAGAACCTCGAATCAGTCTCGAAGACAAACCCAAACAAACACATGAGACGGATATATAAAGCACCCCAAAACACCTGATCCGGGATCATTCGAATATCCAGGGACATGCATTCTCGAACATTCTCAAACACACATCCCCCAAGATGTTCCCCTGCTAGTTAGTGACTTAGGGAAAAAATATCCGGCCAAGCACATCCAAAAGGATCCTTTTCATGTGAGCCGAACCGCTCTGTTTTCTTGAGCCAAATGTGAACAGCGTTGTAGCTGTTGTTGGTTTCTTTTCATGAACATCTGGGAAGGTGACTTTTGGATTCACACTCCCCCTACGGCATTTTGCCGTACTTCAAGCCACCTGATCTTTGATCAGGAAAAAGCTAAAGCCGCACCATCGACCATGGACATTCGGCAGGGCGTCCTTTCGCCAGTCTGCGTCCACGTAATCAGCCGGTTGCCGAAAGGTCATCTTGGACAGGTCCAGCACCCAAGCCACCGTCACCCGCAGGTACTCCAGTGCCCTCAGATCCTTTGGAGTCGATCGGTGCTCCGGGTGGAATCTCTGAACCCGAAGGCTATGCCGGCGTGTCAACCATGTTGCTGATGGCAGGCGTAGGTAGTCCCATGCATCCGTACGAGGAATTGGTCGGAACTTCGTCGCCTCCTCATCCACCAGCAGCTGCACTTTGTCGAACAACAATTGGGTCCACCACACTGATGGCTGCAAGATCAACTGATCTTCCTCCGCACCATACGGAGGGACCAGCCGTGGAGCTTGGGGCCAATGTGGCCGCTCCCAAGGGTTTTCGTAGCCCCGGTGTGGATCTTCTCCAGGTTCAACCGGTGGGCGTGGCATCGCCATGTGTTTCGGTGTTTGAACCCACGGTGGTGCTTCATCCGGCCATGCAGATGCCAAAGACCTTGGACACGATGAAGAACCCCCATAGCCCTTTGAAGCAGTCATACTTTTTGAAGAAGTCCCCATTGCCGCGGCACCACGTGCAGCAGCCTTTCCCCCACTCTCTTCAACCATGTAGGCGGGCGGCCTCTTCCACGAAGCACTCTCTCCCCCGGATCTGCAGTTGGCATTGATGTCCGGAGTATGTTGCACATACTTTGGCAAAACCGGTGGAGGTTTTACCGGCGGTTGCTGACCGATCGGAACTTCCTTCGGGAGGATCGGCAGAGCCTTCACTGAGGGAGAGGATGCCTCTCCTCCATGCTCTTCCCATGTCCTTGTCCCCGATGAAGAGGCAGTCGAGTTGCCAACCCCCTGGTTGCCGAAGAACCCAGTCTCGCCTCCGCCACCACTGAAGCGCAGCTGAATCTTGCCCCAAACGCCATGGCGCACGCTCGACGTTTCCAATTCTACACAGGAAGCCTCTAGGCTACCGTTGGGATCGAAATGTTCCGACCCTTCCGTGCGGCCCGACGCAAAAGATTCATTGGCCTCTTGTTCACTTTTGTTTTCTTGTTCTTTTCTTTGTTCTTTTGGTGACCCTTGGTCTTTTGT